GCCCCATGGGAATTTGCTTTGAGGACACAGCCAGCTTCATTATTGTTATTTTTATCTATAATAAACCACAAGCTATTAGCAGAGTCAACCACAGCTGGCTGAGTACCAAACCCGTCTCCCTGAGTGTTTACCTGCTCAGACTATATTTGGCCACCCTGAAGAGAGCTGATTAATTAAATAAGTTCAACCAAGCAACTGGAGGCAATAAAGCTCAGTCATATACATCCACTGACTCTTGGGCCTGCTTTATATTTGATTTCTTCCCTCCCCAGGATATCAAATGGCTTGGGAAAAGCCATGATCTCCACCTCCTTATTAAATACAGCTACTGCCTGCTGCTGCCGCCGGGGAAACTCAATGTGCTTGCAAACGATTTGCAAAGCCCAGAACGAGCCACGCTGGCCTCTGCTCTCTGCAGAGTAAGGTAAAGACAGGGATGTTATGGGGGCATTAATTCCATTTCCCAGCATAGGGAGGTGGCAGAGAAGTGGCTGCTGAGCACGGCCCTGTGAGGACAGGCTGGAAGGCGATGCTCCAAAGCAATGAATGATTATTTCCCTCTAGCGTTGCTGCCTTTCAGACACCTGCGATGAAAATTCTGCATTGCAAAAACACCTCAAAAGAGAGGGAAAATGGGGCAAATCCACCCCCTTGCTCCCTCCTAACCAGTTAGCAGCACCAGGCAAGTGCTGCTAAGCCCCATAACGCTACTGAAGCGCCCCTGAACGCTGCCAGCGGATACAAGCCCCCGGCTTTGACACAAACCCTCCTGCTCCACGCGGCCGCTGCTCGCTGCAGGTACCGCCTGAGGGAGACAAATCCGAGGGAGACAAAATCGCTGCCGCTCACCCCGATACCAGCGGTGCAGCAGGAGCAAAGGCCGCTGCCCTAAAGCGACCCCGCTCCGGCCTTTCCCCTCCTGGGAGAACGGGTGCTGCTGGGATCACCGCGTGCTCCCCACAGAGCTGAAGCAGCTCCGCACATCACTGCTCGTCGCTCCCCTTGCTCCTCCTTGGGGTCCCTGCAAAACCTCCTTTTGCTGCCTCAGTGTGACACCAGACACCATCAGAGATGGGCAGGGGAAGATCAATCTCCACAAATTAATCCTCTTTCCACTAGTGTCCCAAATTTTAGTCATCTACACCTGTGCATGGAGGCAAATCCCAAGGTTGCCACTGACCTTGAATTCCAGCCAACTCTTAGACAGGAGTCCAAATACTATTATAAAAAGCTCAAGTGCGTTGCCCTTATAAATATTAATGGTGAATATTGCATAAACTCATGAGTTCTGGGGACTGAATCCCATGAATGCTGCCACTGCTGAAGAGGAAGGAAAGAAGTAACAAAGAGCTCGAGACAGGCAAGGAAAGGCGAGTACCACGGGGAGAGAGAAGGGTCCACGGAGCACAGATTAGAAGAGAATTTAAAAGAATAAAAATAAAAGAAATAGCAGAGTTACCGGGTAACCATCGCGTCCTGACTGCCCCTGTGGTGGGGGAACAAGCGAGACAACAAGTCAGTGAGATTCAACTCTTGTGATGCAGCGAGACGCAACGCGGAGTCGCGGGCTGCTCCGTCCCCAGCCAGCCCTAGGCACTCAGTGCTCTTTGGCAGAGCCTCTTAGGGCATTTTTCCTATGGAAAGGGTCACAGCTCTACCTGATTTTCCTTTTTCTTGCTGCAGACTTTCACCTCGTGCTTTCCTTTGGTTACTTACCCAGGGTTTTGCCCAGCGTGCCCTGGCCATGGCCATGCTGGGGCAGACACGTGGGAGACATGCCCAGGGCTGCGCGCCGAGGGGAAGCTGCTCTGTTTTGGGGGATTCTCTGCTCTTGGGCACATCTGCCCAGGCCAGAGCAATTCCCATTCCCAAGGACAACCCTGAAGCTCCTTATCCAGCCCCAAATAGAGCTCCCTCCTCCTACATCCCCTTTCATTAGTGTCCCAGGGCAGTGCTTCTCCCACCGCCCTCGCAAGGTCCGTGCCTGCTTGCAAGGCAGCAGGAAGGCAAGGCAATGCTGCGGGCAAGCACCTCAATCTAAAAACGCCTGCGAGGGGAGCACAAAGGCCAAGGGGACCCCTCGGGGCTGCTCCCCTCTCCTCGCTGGGCCGGGGGCCGCGCGGGAGGCGTTTGCAGCTCGCGCTGCCATTGCAGACATCGCTGCCGTCCCCGCAGGGCAGCGGCCCGGAGCGAAGCATGGGCAGGGACGCAGGCAGGCAGCGAAGCAGCAGTCCCACGAGCACGCTGCAGGTCACCCGGGAGCACCACCGTGCGGGCGCCACCTCCCTCCCAAACGCTCCTGGCTTCACAAATCCCAGAGAAACGCACAGCGAGGGCTTTAGGGGGTGCATGGCAGGGAGCAGAGAAAGGACGCTGGAAACGTGGGCAGCAGGCGCCCACGCCGGCTGCTGCAGGGAGGTTTCCTAACACCCAGGGATGCAAGTACTTAATTATAGCCAGGGTGAGTCCATACTCCAGCCTGCACCACTCTGTACCTGGGCACACGGTATTGGCACCCTCCAGGGCAGAGGTTTGGATCCATGCCCCAGGAATACGGGGGAATCCAGACCCCTGGATCCATCCATGGGGTGATGCCGCGTCCGAGAGCCGCAGCTCTTGCACGTCTCTATAAGTGACCGGTTCCTGACCACCAACCCTTCAAATGCCACAACAACTGCTCCCAGGGGCCAGCAGCAGGGAGAAGACAAGTTCCAGCAGATATTGGACATGCAGGATACAAGCGGTCCCTCGTGGCCAAAAATTTTAAAAAAAACAAAGATATAAAAAGCAAGAAACAGAAAAAATTAACAGACTTAAATGTAGCACTGTTGAAATAAAATAATATTGTGGTTCTGTGGGTTCTAGTTTTGTTACATATTATGTTAAAATACTCTGTCAAATGCTGTTTATGCTACAAAAATATATTTTTTAAACAAACTAAACCAGCAGGCTTTTTTTTTTTTTTTTTTTTTTTAAGAAGGGCAAGGAGAAACAAGCAAGAAAAAGCCTTGTTTGCGTTAAATCTCCCCTGCTCCCCGTTCGCAATTCAATAGTGCCGTGGGAACCAGGAAATGAAACCAACTCGAGACAAAGAAAAATTAATCCTGCTCCATATGTCGCCCGAGCTGAACCGCATACAATAAAAGTGAGCAGATAGTGCACGTGAGGGAGCCCAAGGACGGGCTGCGGGTGGGCTGGGAGCTGCCCTGGGGCAGGGTCGGAGCCTAAAGGGTTAAATAAACCCCACTTATATAATCCAAAGTACTTTAAGCAAGAGGAAAAAAGTTCCTTAGAGGATGTCTCTGGGGAGTGGCAATAGGCAATGTCCCCATCATTCATAATGGGCTATTGAGAGAGCAATTAAATGAAGTTCCTCCAACTAAGCCTAATTCCTACCACCTCCGCTGCTCCGCAGGGACCTGCTCTAACGCCCAGGGCAAAGCCCAGAGGCCGCTCGCTACAAGCTCCCGATTTTGCTCCTGGATGTTACAGCACATCCAGGCTTTGCTGAGGCAGCAAAACGCACCTGGAACGTGGTAGGGAGAAGGGGAGCCAACATTCACCTCTGCTCTGGCCAAGGGATCTGGAATTCACTTGCAGATCGCGGCAGTGAATGCCTGCTACTCAACACTTCTTCCAAAGCCATTTTTATTGTGTGGGCAAAGCAACTCTGCTACAGTTTTTAATTACAGAATATTTACAGCAAAGCCAATTAATTGACAGATTTAATTTTGGCACCCAAGTGAACAAGACAAACTCGGTTGTTTGCATTGCTCAAGCCACTCAGAGCCTTGGATTTATTCTTAAAGACTGGGCACAACTTTGTGACCAGTCTCAGCTCTCCTATAAGGATAGTTAAGCCTAAGCCACCAATTCTAACTTCCATGGTTTGCTACTTCCAAACCTTGCCAAACAACAACTGTGCTTAAACTCCTCTTAAGTCTTTAGGTTAGAAAAAAGCTATAAAAATAGTAGTAATAAAAAATAGTAATAATCACTTGACATAAAAGCAAACTTCAAAGGTCTCAAAGTCATGGAAACCACAGGTAAAACGCTGTCAAGCCCAGGAGAACCAAAGCAATGACACCACTGTCCTTCCATGTATTTCCCTACTCCTGAATTTTAAACCAATTTGCATAATTGGAAATTAATGTGGCCAAGGGTCATTAGCAAACTCAGTTCTATGGAAATAACCTCTTTCTGAATTCAGCAATGTTCCAGAGCAGGAGAACAGCAGGAAGAAACCTCACTTTCCCCATGCAACCCTGGTAAGAAAACATGCAGGCCAAAACTCCTCCCCTGTCTTCACAGAAACAAAGGCAGAAACACCAAATACCCATAATTTCTTTCAAAACCGCCTAGCAACTTGAAGGTCACAAATTAAATGCCATTTTCATACTTCAGAACTGGTGGGTGAGCAACAAATTTGGAAATGGTGGTGAGGCAGCAAAGGGAATGCTGGAACACGTGGATGGAGGAAACGCATTCGCAGCTATTGCCCCTCCAAAAAGCAAATTCCCCCTGCGTTTTGGGTAGGAAAGCTCACTATTCTCCCAAGAACTTCCAAGAGAGGAAAAGCTGCTGCACCCTGTCTTTGCCACCATCTGCAAGGCTCCCCAGGACAGTATTAAATGATGGAAACACACCAGGTAAGAAAAGGTAGAACTTTAAAACCAATAATCATTGAAATGTTAAAATCCTAGTACAGTGCTCTTTAGCTAAATAGAAGCTAAGAAGCTTTTCCTCAGTATTTGCTAGATTTAAAATTACTAGAAGCCCCTACAGGCAGCAGGTTAAACATTTTAATTTTTTTTTTATTCTATTTGTCTACAATAATGAAAACAACAAAAAAAATCCAGCAGCATCTGGTACCAATTTCATTCTCCGACGCACCTCTACCAAAAAACGCTGTTCTTTTGCAATGACACAGAAAGGGAAGGGGGGAAGGCAGGGGGAAGCCTTAACTTTGTTGATCCAAGAGTAAAATCCACGATACTTACTGCAGGTCCTGCAAAACAAAAGAAAAACAAAGAGAACAGTCACTTCATTACAAAGAAAAAAAAGTATAATCTGATAACATAACAGGAAAATAAAAGCAAGCACTGGAATGTTACAGAAGTTGGCCATTCATCCCCAGTTTGGTGACTCTCCAGATTTACTTAAATAAGAATTTAAGTGTATCTGACCACTCACCAGCAGAGCTCTGCCAGCAGAAGCCCTAGACCTAGAGTTTTATGGGCAAAAAAAGTGTTTTTTTACTGCACCTCTTATTCATCTTGTGGCATTAAAAGGAGCATTAAAAGATTTGGGAAAAGCAAAGCTGCCCATACAGAGGCCACTTGTATCATATGAACCCCCAGCACCATCTTGTCCTCACACCTCCAAATCCCTCGTATGCCCCACCGAGCTTTCACCCCTGCCAAACTCCTCAGGAACATGGAAGCAAGTGCAATTAAACCCTTAGGAAAGGCTCTGTTGTCTTGGATGGGCTTGGGATGTCTGAGCATCAGGCCTGGTGTATAAAGCTGTGCCTAGAGCGGCAGGGAAATATTACATGTGCATAAAGCAAACCTAACAAAGACAAGAAATTAGGGCTGAACCCAATGAATGACAAGCAGCGTTTGCTGCCCAGAACCGGCCTGATAATCGACACTGAACTTGGCCCATTCATCTCCACTCACGCCTGCTCCAACAACCGGGAGGGAGAGACCACCTGAAAACCTCCCCGATCCCTGGAGAAGCCCAATTTCTTTACTGCTAAAACACATCCAGGCCCGTTTGTTTCCTTTCCCTCCGTTTAATTTCTTACAAATACAGAAGTCAGTGGATCTCAGCCACTTTATTAACTGAGAATCTGACTCGACATAAAACCTGATTTATTAACTCACTTATGCCAAGCTGCCCACAAAGGTCCTTTTGTATAAAAGTAAAAACTAAGCCTCAAATAAGAAGTGGTCAGGAAATTATTTTAATATGGGATTTCAATCATGTACCAATTATAATCTCCCTGGAATTTGCTGCCTTTTTTCCTTTTTTTTTTTTTTTTTTTTTTTTTTTTCTTTCCCCCTCAAAGCTTCTGTTTTCACCCAGCACATGCAGACAAGTGCTCTGTTGAAATGCTTTCCTCTCAAGGACAGGAATTGCACTTGGATGTTCTCTGTGTGTGCAGTACGGGACAGGCTTGGTGGACAGCCGTGGAGTTGCACTAATCTTCAGGCACGCTGCTGGCAAAACGTGGCAAGACAAATCTTCATTAAGGTCTAAGTGTGTTGAACTGATTTTTCACCCCTTAAGACCAACATAACATTCTGGATTGCTCTTTTTTTTTTTTTTTTTTTAAATTAGCCACAAGGCACTTGTTTCCTATGGAAGAGAGTCAAATATTTTGCGAGTCAGCAGTAAACACAGACATCAGCCCCGTGCCAAGGCGCTGCCCCTCACCAGTCATCTCTGGGATGCACGTTGCACAAGACACTTTTTCAGAGAAATGTGCCAAAATTTACTGCTAATCTTGACTAGTGAGAATCATTTGGCGAGCTTTAAAAATATATATATATAATTATATATATCTATATATATAATGATATATCTCCAAAGAGCACAGCAGCATTATCCTGGGCAGCACATAAATGTAATGGGAGATGACAGCTCCTTTCCTGGACAGGTCACAGCCATTTGTTTCCAAATATTTCTGCAGCTTGGGAATTTGGGGATGAGCTCCATTTCTATGTAATGTGTAGATCATTTATCATCCAAAACTTTCCTGCCATGAAAGGAGAGGACAGGGCCTGGCAGGGAAAGCAAAACTAGAGCAAGCTCTGCAACGCCACCCAAGGAGATCGTCCTGTGTGCAGAACTGGTGGGGCCTTCGTTATTGCCCTCAATGGGCAGGAATCTAGCCAAAAAATGAATTTGGCTTTGCAAATAATTGCAAAATACATTTGTGCATGTATTTATAAATACATAGAAAAAAATGCACCTAAGCCCTATATGTGCTTCAGTGCTGCTGTACAGGGAATAGCAAAGAAGTTTATTATTGAGAGCAAATGTGGGACAGATTAGATTTTGCCTGAAATTCAGTAGAAGCCAAAGAAATCTTCTCCTAGGAGATGCGTATGCAACTGCTCCCGACAAATGCAGAGAGCACTGAAAACTCTCAGATAAATAAAAAGCTCTATATGATTTACCACCCACATGCATGCACACACACCCATGCTCCCCAAGACCCACGGTGCAGGCAGCTGTCCACGCTCCCAAGGCCAAGGGCTTTGAAAGTGAATTAACGGGTAAAGGATGGGATTTGTGTATTTGTGGGGTCAGGAGAGAAATAATGTTTTCCTACAGGGAATTTTCTTCGGTTTCATCTCTTAAAAAAGAGTTTCAGATTCTTCCTTATCCCAAACCAGGGTATTTCTATAAACTGAACGGCTCTACATAAATAATAATTTACTTTGAATCAAAACTTGGTTAGAAGCTCAAATTAAAGAAATGTTTTTAGTGCAACGTAAATACAGAACAAGATGTAACAGGGTGGAGAGTGGGGAAGAGAGAAGAGTATTTCATCCCATTTCAACAATTTCTAAACACTTTCCCTACAAGTGGCTTTTGAAATGGAAAAATTTTGGTAAACAAAACTTGGATGGTTGCTAGGAACTGTGGATTTGCCAAGTCAACATTTTCCATTGTAAGATGTTTTTCCTCAAAATTCCCCCTACCATTCCTACCTGAAAGCAGCATTTTATGCCCCAACATGGGTCCCTTTTTCCATAGCCTCAGCCTGTACTAGCAGGCAACTACTTGTATTATACTCTTGTGTTGCAACTAGTAGGACTAGACCCTGTGTGGGGGGTACTGGCTCCTGCTTCAGGACAATGGGAGATACTTGGACTCTCCACAGACTTTGCAAATCTTAGGTGTATTTTCTTGCTGGCTGTTGGTAAGAGGTCTCATTTTGCACTGATTTTGTCAAGCTCAAGGCAAAAGAACCTCGTCAGCAAGAAAGAAGCTACAACAATTTTCCCACAAGCTGGTGAACCAAAGGTCTGGAGCTGAGCTAATATGTGGATACCCTAAATTCCCAAGCCTGGATCTGATCCCCAAGTAGTTCAAGAATGCCCAGCGGATGCTAAATGAAGCCTCTTCGCCACATGTTTGCAATGGCAGGAATAACATTGCTCTCCAAAACTACAGGCTTTGGAGGAAGGTGACACTGGGGTACCCAGGTACCCTCTTGCCAGGGCTCCCTCCACTCTGGCAAGTCCTTTTTGAAGGACCTGACCCACAACTGCCTCATTTCAAACCAGTCTAAGCAGTTCAGCTTGGCTAGAGATGATTTCAAATGCGTCTTTTCAAGGCACGGTGTATTTCTGTGCTAGACACCTGTGGTCTCAGCATGTTTCCAAGATGATGAACACTGAGCTTGGAGAAATGCAGAGCTGTTGGATTAATCTTCTTATGATCTGAATCCATCGGAGGAAGGAAAAAAATAAAACAGGCTTGTCTTAAATCAATAGGAGGGTGCGATTGAAAAGGGACAGGATGCGCTCTTAAAAATTTTTCTGCTCGTTTATGGGAGATATGCTTTGAAAGCTTAAATAGGGATCAAAAAAGAGTTTTCCACAATTGCCATTTTAACAACTGCCAGAAAAATCGCTCCCTTTGGCAAGCCCGAGGCCAGCGCGGAGCCTGCTGGCTCTGCAAGAGCCTCCCTCCCTCCAGGGCGGGATGCTAGCACGCCACGCAAGCTCAGCGCTAGGCCCGACCACCGGCCCAAGCCAAGGCACAAGGACCTGGTTTATGTGCCGTAAGGCTCTCCAACAAATATATGCATACATAACCCAGCTATCTGTGAAAACAAACATCTGGCAGTGAGGCCAAAAGCAATGCACAGGGGGAGGCTGCTCTCTGGGAAGCTTTGTAGGCTTGACAGAGCGGAACGGCTCTTGGAGGCCGCGTTGTGTTAGATGTATGAGGCAGTCCTGCCCAGTCCCACGCTTGGACGTGCTCGCCCGCCTGCACACGCACAGGTTTGCCACCAACTTTGCTGGGTTTGGAAGGAAGAAACTGTCTTGAAGCACGGCAGTGACTTTGTGGCAAATCCACTCGCCCTTCCCAATTGTACCTCATGCTCCTCAAACTTCTTCCACCACTGCAGAGAAGTCTAAAGGGGTAAGTCATTAATGATCCCTAATTTCTTTATACTGCTTCTTTTTTTCCATGTTGATTCTGCCCCAATTTCCTGGCAGGTTTTTTGCTTCGTGAGAAGGGGATGCCCTGTGCTTACCATGGGGAAGAAACCAATGGCCATAATGTAGCAGAAACCTCACAAGCTGGGTGGGAAATGCCCTGGCTGATAAGAGCTCCTCCTGATTAAAACATAGTTTTAAATACTGATGATTACAAAGGCTATTCTGCCCCCCCYCCCCCCCCCCTTTTTTTTTTGGAGGACCAGGCCATGCATAGGCCCTTGGGTCCTGCTGGAGCATCATAGGCCCTTGGGTCCTGCTGGAGCGTCACCTTTCTAAGCTATATTGCAACCAGCTGCATGGGGATTTCCATTTTTTTCCCCATGTGCTTTGCTCTGCCCCCAGGTACCAAAACAGGGGCACATTATTCGAGTGATCCGCGCAAGTCAGAGCTCCGCAGGCACCGACCAGCACGGGCCCTAACGCCCTCAATGCGGTTATCCCCGATGCTGAAGTGCTGGCCGGGACCAGTGCAGCCCGACCCACATTCCGCATCCCGCTCCGAGGGCGGACAACACTTACCAGGCTCTCCACGTCGTCCCGGCTTCCCGCGCCTTCCCGGCGGACCTGCAGGAAGCAGAAAGAGCACTTAGGCACCTGGCTCGACCCAAACCCCCTTCTGCACCCCCCCTGCCTCCCTTTGGGATCATCCAGAACACCAGAATGTAAAAAGACATGCTCTTAAAAAGCATTTTGCTGCAAAATGCACTGAATCCTGGTGGAAATGTCACCCTTATCTCTTGGGCGAAGAGCCTCGAGGGAGCAACACTTATTTTTGCGCTTTCATTTTAAATAAGGATGATGATTGTTCTCTTTTACAAGGCTGCACACTGCTAATGTCTTCTGGATTTCTTCCCCCACAGTTGTTAAAAAGCAGAAGTCAGAAAAAGAATAAAGAGATAGAAAAAGACATTCTGAACCCATGGGTGTCGTCCACGTGGTAGAGAGAACTGTGTACAATACCAGAGCCCAAAACACTCCAGCTTTGGGAGAAAAAAAAAAAAAAAAACAAAAAAAAACAGATTGCAGAATCCACACAAGCACTTGTGTCCTGCAAGGGTCCAAGCGCAGCACTCACCCAGGTGCAATACTAGTGGCAGTGACCACTTTCACAAATCACAACATTTAAAGCATCAAAAGGAAGAACAGAAACCTTTAGTTACCAAGAGCACCTGGGGCGGAAGAAGTTTCTGCACAGAGTGACAAAGCACCCTGGATCCGATCACATCCTTAGAATTTCAGGTCCAGGCTTCAGGTAGAAAGTTATTCACTCATCTTCAGGTAACAACAGCTAAGTGACCGATAGGACAAATGTTAAGTCATCTTAGCCAAGCAGAGGGACACGGGTGGGACTCCAGCACCCCGCACCCCAGCGCCCAGGCATCCCCGGGTCGGAGCCGGCCCGAGCGCCTCGGTTCCTGTGCCGTTAACCAACGTGTTGCCGTCTCCCTGCTGGAATAATCCCCTCCGGCCGGCGCGCCGGCAGCCTCTCCGCGCGGTGCATCGCGAGCGCTGCCAGCTGGGCACCACGAGCTGCTTTTGTACAGCCAATTCGGCCAGTTTTGGAAGAGCAGTTGCTGAGTGACAGCAATGCTGGCAATGGAAAAAACAAGAGCCAGCGTTTCATGTGGGAAACCCCAACATTCCCTCTCCTTTCTGTTGCTTTTCTGGTTTTCAAGGAAGGGGATAATAAACAGAGATGATTAAATATTTCTGCGCTCCTATCACGATCACTCCTCCTGTATAAACACTTCTGGGGCTGAGTGCGCGCTCCTGCCCCTGGCCACGGCCTGGACTTCTTCTCTTTAACATTACGGTAAACTTTGCAGCAATCCCCCTTCCCAGCCATTCCCGTGTCTTTAATGGAGACCACAGGCTCTTTTCAGGCAGCTTTCAGGACCAATCCACCCTTCTGCATCAAACACCAGGAGCTGCAGCTGGGCCACCCTTGCTACCAAGGGGACACGTTCCAACAAGACCTTCCAACAAGGGCAGGGCGAGCAAGCAGGGTAACGTTGCCACCAATGTCCTACCCCTGCAAGGACATGGTAGAAGGCACCTTTTGGAGCTTCCTAAGCAATTGGGCCTCAACTTGCTAAAGGAAGGAAAAGCCCGTTTTCACCCTGGTGATGGGAACTGGGCCGAGAGCCGCTCCGCATGGACAGGTCACGGTGTCCTGCTGAGCATCACGGAGCATCGGTGCCTACGGCACACTGGCCGGTTCCATCACAGGCTGCCAGCTTTGCTGAGCAGTAATTGATGCGCCAGGCTGGGAGGCCAAGTTTTTAACAAATGACTAAGTCTGGAGTCCAGGCTTTGGAGTAATTTAGATGCAGTCAGGCTGGACCAGGGGCTCGAGTTCTACAGCAGCACCAAGAGCATCTCCAGTTACATTGTTCTCATAGATTTCTGTTAAGAAACTTCTTTGCTCCCCCACAAGAACACACTTTCATAGACAGAAACATTATTAGCAATTGCTGACCCAGCCTGTTCAGAAACCTCTGCACTGACAATCCAAGAAACTTCCAAGAAACTCAAGATACTTAAAGAAAACATCCCTTAATCAACATTAGTTTTAAAGGGAATTCCTAATACTTAGCCTCAACATGGAAAAAAATGACTTACTGACAATTTTTTAAAATCATCTCTCTATGGTCTTCATTTTCCAGGAGGAAATATTCTAAGGTTTTGCATGTAACACAAATCACAAGTACACCATGCTAGCAGGAACCATGAGACAAATCAAAATTAAGGCCAAAAGTGAACAATTTCCCTCAGGGAAAAAAAAAGGAAAAAGCATAATCTAATTTATTTGCTGTTTTTATCTGAAAATAAAATTTTTCACCACAATGTTTCACCACCAATGATCTCCGCAGCGCATCCAGGGCATCTCCAGCCTTCATGTGATGAGAAGACCCTACTGCACCTTCCTGGTTGGCATGAAGCTCAGATCTAACGTGCCTCCCACCTCAGCTTTCTTTATAAGACCACAAAAAAAAAAAAAAAGTTATCTGCAAACAAATTTGCAGTCCTCCTTAACTATAAACTGTTACCTAATGACTCCATCTCCTAGGATCTTGCGCTTGATGCTTGTTCAGTATAATTAAGATTTATGCTGCATTAGTGTCATTCGGGTAAAAGCTCAGCCTTCTCTCCTGACCCTATCAGCTCTGCTCTATCAGGGCTGGGAGTTCTTTATTTACATTTTTATGAAAGGCAGTTTTGGGAAAGAGAATAAATACAAAGCATAAAACAGGCTATTTTTAAACAGCTTGTCACTTCCAAGCTAAACAGCCTTAATCCAGGCATAATACGCAGTTTCTGACGGGGCTGTACGCTCTGCAGTGACATGACAGACCCAGTAAGGCAAAGACGAAGGAAGGGCATGAGAAGCGGGGCTGTTTGGGAACGCTATGAGCAAGAGCTGGTAGGTGCAACTATAGAGCAGCTCCCCAGGACCAAGGTAAAAAGTTCATGGTAAATAAAGTGCACAGGCTTAGCCTTACTCCTACAAGCAACTACTTACACCGTCTAGTATGGGCTGGTGAATGAGGTACTAAAAATCAACATTATGGTTCAGATCATCTACTGTCAAGTGTTCAAACCAAGAACCTCTTCATAGTGCAGTAAGTGGTCCCTATTTGAACTGCTTTATTGAAGAGAAGGGCAAAGCAGGCCTTGAGCACCAAGGCTCCATGAACTCCGTAATCCCATCGAGACCAAGAACCCCCATTGCAACACATACTGCTATCCTTATTCTCCCTTTCCCTCTCATTTAATTGGGCAAACATGGGGCTAAGTTATACATCATTTTAAAGAACCAACCCGCTCCTGTGCTTGGACTTTTTCCTTTTGCTTCTTTTCCAAGGGCTTGAAAACGTTTAGAATCTTTTTTCCTTTCTCCTTTTTGCTTACTTGCTCCTCAAGCCATGTTCATCAGCCACGTTCAGGCTAAAAATGAGTTATGCAGAAAAAGAGCCTAAACAAATTGGTTGCTTCAGCTGCTCTCAGAAAAGCACCTTTTTTCCCCCAAAGAGGAAGGTGAATTTTGCAGCAGCAGGAACTGCGGCTCTCTCCTCCCCGGCCATTCCGGCACAAAGGTCTATTTACTCTCCGGGTCCCGAGGGAAGAAGTTTATGGTTCACGGAGAGGAGCCGGGGCCGAGCTGCTTGTGCAGCTGATACTCATCAGGTATCCGAGCCGAGCGGCAGAGCCCGGCACCGCAGATCTCAGATCAAACCGCTCTGGGTCACAACGCTTGGCATGAACCTGCTTGGCTTGGGATTCCAACGGGCCCAAAGACTCCAAGCAAATACCAGAGGCAGATTGGAAACATGCAGCACCTACAGCCTAGAGGAGTTTTCCAAATAAAACAAATAAAAACAGAGATTCATTTTGAGTTTGGCCCAAGTATTCTGAAACCCCTCCGAAACACTGGTCTACGCTTGGTGGAAAAGCCACCCAGGAAGCAACCTTTGCTTGCTCTCCAAGGAAACTTCATTGCTCCGTATGTGCTTCAGTAGCTTTCAAGATACAGAGTAGAGAAAATATTGCTTTCCTTATGTCTCCACAGAGCTTTTCTGACCAAGGAAACTCATGAGCATCCTCCTCCCATCTTGGGCATCTCTGTGCTCAAACTCAAGGAACAAAATTTGAGGGTACCTGAAAGTCACAGAATCAGAAGTTGCCCAGCAGCCATCAAATGCACACACTCAATGCATGCACAGCTCTTCAAGACCAAAAAAGCAGGTGTGGGATGGAGTTTTAGCATTTGTCTCGTTTCTAGCTAACAGTAGCTCTGGTTAGATGCTTGTTGCAAAAGAAAAATAACATCAAGATCACTCAATGAAAATGAAATACAAAACTACTCAACGCTCTGATCACCCTCCCATTTAAAACAACGGAGACTGCACTGCTCTCTTGGTATCTTTGAGCTCACCCGTGGATTTTCCCCCGATCCTGCTTACATCAGTTTTTCTTTTTTTCCCCCCACACCCAGAGACAGTTTCTTCAAACAGTCAAGTGCATACAGCTCTTTTGTTTAGCCACCAGGACATAAAGATAAACTGAATTTGAGATATAAATTAAGAAGTGACTGGAAAAAAGCCACAATTGCACTTACATCAAACATGGGATTTTTTCCCTGTTGTTATGGCTGCTCTTGCTCAGGCCATTTCCAGATAATACCCTGGCACAGCTGCAGCACAACACAGGGCAGCAGCAGATGTCCGGGCTAGGCTCTCATTTTATTTTTAAAACAAAGGGATACGTATCTTGGCAGCTGCGCGTGCTGCCATACGCAAGGTAGAAAGGTTTACATGGCAGATTCCAGTTCCCCACATCTGCACCAAGGCAGCTGCTTCAATACAACCCCTGGGAGGAGATGGGAACTCTGCAACCTTTCAGAAATGGAGCGTCTCCCCAGACACGTCCACATACTCTGGTTTGAGTTTGAGACCCGTGACCATCCCCTTCTTGTGAGAGACGGTTTCTGAAGGAGAACTCTGCTCACCTTACCCATATGGGTGCCCTATGTGACTAACTTGTGATTCCCACAGGTAAATCCT